CAGAAAATTTTTAATAAGATGTGGTCCCAGTTATTGATTCTGGGAAGTAGTTCCTGTGTGGAACTATTCATGCTCCCGTGTTGATTCCTGTTCATGAATTCTCTACCTACCCCTGTGTCTTTCAAGATGTTTACCTACTTTGTCTTTCAACAGATTTAGTGTTTCTGTTTTAATATTCAGATATTTGATCCATTTAGATTTTAGTTTAGCATATGGTGATGGACATAGTTGTAGTTTAGTTTTTGGCATATGGAGAGCCAGTTTTTCTAACACCATTTATTAAAGAGGCTGTCGTTTTTCCAGTGAACATGTTTGGCATCTTTATCAAAGATAAGGTGGTTGAGCGTGTTGGTAGTTGTGGTTATATCTTCTAATCTATTCCATTGATCTTCAGATCTGTTTTTATTCCAGTACCATGTTGATTTTATTACAGTAGTTTTGTAGCATAATTTCATGTAAGGGATTGTGATGTCTCCTATCTTGCCTTTGCTGCTTAGAATTGCCTTTACTATTCTAGATCTCTTCTGATTCCAGGTGAATTTTAGGAGTGATTTCTCTAGATCTATGAGGTATTTTGATGGTATTTTCATTGGGATTGCATTGAATCTGTATAACAGTTTTGGGAGAATGGCCATTTTCACAATATTTATTCTCCCTATCCATGAAAAAGTGATGTCTTTGGATTTTCTGAGATTATCTCTCGATTTATTTTTTCAGGGTATTATAGTTTTCCCTGTATAGATCTTTTACTTCTTTTGTGAGATTAATTTCTAAGTATTTCATTTTTGGGGGTGCTAGTGTGAAGAGTGTGACTTCTCTTATTTCTCTCTCCATAATTTTGTTGTTATTGTATAGATATGCTACTGATTTTTGAGCATTGAGTTTGAATCCAGCTACATTGCTGAATTTATTTATTATATCTAGGAATCTTCTAATGGAGTTTTGGGGGTTTTCTATGCAGAACAACACGTCATCTGCAAATAATGATAATTCAGCTTCCTCTTTTCCTATCTTTATGCCTTTTATTTCTCTCGTCTAATTGCTCTGGCTAGTATTTCCAGTACTATATTGAATAAGAGCGATAATAAGGGACATCCTTGTCTTGTGCCTGATTTTAAGATAAAGACCTTCAGTTTTTTGGCCATTTAGTATGATGCTGGCTGTTGGTTTGTCATAAATGGCCTTTATCATATTGAGGTAAAGACCATCTATTCCAATTTTCTGTAAGGTTCTTATCATGAATGAGTATTGGACATTATCAAAAGCTTTTTCTGCATCTACAGAAATGATCATGTGATTCTTACTTTTGGCTTTATTGATATGGTGGATTACATTTATTTATTAACATACGTTGAACCATCCCTGCATGCCTGGGTTGAATTCCACTTGGCCGTGTTGTATAATCTTCTTGATGATTTGCTGCATCCTGTTTGCCAATATTTTACTGAGGATTTTTGCATCTGTGTTCATTAGGGAGATTGGTCTGTAGTTCTCTTTTTTAGTTGGGTCTTTCTCTGGTTTTTGTACTAGAGTAATATTTGCTTCCAGGAATGACTTAGGAAAAATTGCTTCCCTTTCTATTTCATTGAAGAGTTTAAGGATTCTTAGCATTAAGTCTTCTTTGTATGCCTTGTAAAATTCCGCAGTAAATTCGTCTGAGCCTGGGCTCTTCTTTGTAGGTAAGGACTTAATTATATTTTCAATTTCATTGATATAAATTAGATTAATCAGCAGTTTTACTTCTTTTTGACCCAGCTTTGTTATTTCATGTTTCTAGGAATCTGTCCATTTCTTCTGTGTTATCAAACCTATGGGAGAAGAGGTTTTTGAAACAGGTGTTGATAATTGTCTGTATTTCCACAGAGTCTGTAATGTTTTCACCTTTTTCATTCTTTATTGCATGAATTTGAGCTTTTTCTTTCCTTTTTAAATTAGGTTGTCTAGGGGCTCATCAATTTTATTTATTCATTCAAAGAACCAACTCTTTGATTCATTGATTCTTTGGATTGTTTTCTTAGTCTCTATTAAATTAATTTCTGCTCTGATTTTTATACTTATCTCTTCTTTTGGCTCTGGACTTGACTTGCTCTTGTTTTTCTCGATGTTTGAGGTGTAGCGCCAGGTTGTTTATTTGTATTCGTTCTGTTTTCCTGATGTGGGAACTCAGTGTAATAAATTTTCTTCTAAGGACTGCTTTCATTGTGTCCCACAAATTCAGGTAATTTGTATTTTCATTTGGTTGTAGGTATTGTTTATTTTTTTTTAATTTCTGCTGTGACCTACTGATTCCTCAAGAGTGTATTATTCAATTTCCATGTGTTTGTTTTTCCAGTTTCTTTTACCATTAATTTCTAGTTTCATTGTGCTATGATCTGAAAACATGCGTGGGATAACTTCAACTCTTTTGCATTTATTTAAATATTTTCTGTGGGTTAGTATATGGTCTATTTTAGAGAACATCCCATGTACTGCTGAGAAGAATGTATATTCTGATATTGTTGGATGGAAGACTCTGTATATGTCTATCAAGTCCATTTGTTAACAAGTGTGATACAGTTCTGTTATTTCTTTGCTGTTTCTGTCTGGTTGATCTATCCCTTCATGTCAATGGTGTGTTAAGGTCTCATGTAATTATTATGTTATTGGTAATTTGATTTTTCATTTCTATTAATACTTGCTTTGTATAACTGGGTGCTCTGGAATTTGCTGCATATATATTTAAGATTGTTATCTCTTCCTCTTGAAGTTTTTCCCTAACCAGTATGTAATGACCTTTATTCCTTAGGATCATTCTTGGTTTGAAGTTCACATTTTCTGCAAACAGAAAGCTACCCTCACTTTTTTTGGGGGGGGGTTCTTGTTGCATGTAGTATTTTTTCCATCCTTTGACTTTCAGTCTGTGAGTTTCCTTTTAGGTTAGATGGGTTTCTTGCAAACAGCATATAGTTGGATGTTGTTTCTTGATCCATTCTGCCAGTCTGTTTCTTTTAATTAGTGCATTGAGACCATTTACATTAATGGTTGCAACTATTATATATTGGTTTATTGTTGACATGTTATGTTTTTGCTGTTGCATCATTATCTTTCCATTCTGTTTAATTGTCTGCCTTGTTTAGTGTTTTTTTTCCTAGGTGTATCTAAACTGTCTTTCAGTATTCCTTGCAGGGTTGGCTTGGTGATCATGAAGTTCTTCAGCTGTTCTTTGTCATGGAAGTATCTTATTTCTCTATCAATTTTAAGGACAATTTTGCATGGTACATTAGGTTGGAAATCATTTTCCTTTAGGATCTGAAATACTTCACTCCATTCTCTTCTTGACTTCATTGTTTGTTTTGTGAAGTCTGCTTTGATTCTGATAGGCTTTCCTTTATAGGTGATCTGTCTTTGTCTCTGACAGCTTTTAATATTCTATTTTTATGTTGGATTTCTGGGATGGTGATTATTATATGTCTGGGTGTAGTTTTGTTTTATTATGGCTATTTGGAGTTCTATATGCTTCACTAATCCTCATGTCAGTTTCCATTCTCATGTTTGGGAAATTTTTAGCTATTACTTCTGTAAATAGTCTCTTGATATCATTTGTGTTGTTCCCTTCTTTTTCATTTATCCTATCAATATTATGTTGTTTTTCTTTGAGTCATCTTGCAGCTGTTGGATTGTTATTTCCTGATTCCTTGTTATTTTTGAGAGGTCTTTGCTTTACTGTTCACTAGCTGCAATCTTGTCTTCGAGAACTGAAATTCTATCTTCACTTTCGCTGAGGCGGTTTTGACAACTTTCAATGGAATTTTTGCCTGTATATCTCTTTGAATCTGTTTTATGTATTCTGTTTGTTTCTTATATTATTCATCTAGGGACTCTATCTTTTTGTCTTGTTCCTCTAATTTTTTAACTGTGTCTTCTTTAATTGTGTTCAGTATCTCTGTCATTATTTTTATCATTTCTTCTTTTACCTGGGAGATTATTTCTAGTTTGAATTGGGTTAAAGCTTCCAGTAGTTGCTTCTTTATTTCAGTTACTATTATTTCAGATATTTCAGGTGAATGGCATATATTTTCTTCTGTGTACATGGCTCCTAGGCTTTCTTGGGATAGGCTGGATGCTTTAGATTGCATTTTGGTCTTTCGTTTTGTCATTTTAGTATATTTCCATGTTTCAAGTGATGTTCCAAAGCTTCCCCTGGGCATGTTGGAAATTGTCTCCTATGTGTTGGGTTCCTGTACTCCTCTGGTAGCATAGCTCCCTCCTTGGGCAGCAAGGCCACCAGATTAAAAGGTCACCAGGCATGGTCCAGGCAGGCCCAAATCCCACTAAGCTCAATACAGTGTGGCCACAAGCTGGATTGGTCTCCAACCACCCAGAGCAAGGATCTCAGACTCTCCCAGGGATTGGATGTTGTGTGCAGACATCCACCTCCTCAGGTGGCAAATCTCCCTTGTCTGAAAGAAGGTCACCTGCGTGGCCTAGGCAGGTCTCAAACCTCCTCTGCAGCGCAGCTCCTTCCTCCAGATGGCAGCAGAGGCAGAGGTGCTTTCCAGGCCAAGAGAAGGTCTCTGGCAAGGCCAGAGCAGGCCCCCTACTCCCTAGCTCCCTCCTCCAGAGCGCCTGTAATTACTTTCTTGACCCCTGTAACCACAAGACACTTAGCTGTACATACAGGATACTTAATTGTACCCAGCTCTGCAGTCATTAATCTAGTCTTATAATGGTGGTCATTACTCTAGCCCTATAACCAATGAGCTCACCCTGCTAGTTAATCAGAACTTCCAGGCTGTCCTGTCCATTCTTTGTCACCCTTACTTATGCCTCATATAAAAATGCTGGCTCACAGACACTCACTACCTGGCTTTTGATGAAAGTTATTCAAGGCAAAACCACTGATATAAAGTAAAGCTGTTCACTGCCTTCTGACTTCCTTGGACCTTGTTCCTTTATCAAAATCAGTTTTGCTTCTACACTATTGCTAAAGTAGTTTAAAACAAGTGAGGACCAGTCATGGATTTAGGCAAAAGAAAGAAGCTAAACTTTATTTTTGCTAAGCTTTACAATTTCTCTTTCCTGCTTCTTAGGAAGAGGCTAAAAGGCAAAGGCAATTGCTGAACTCAGAAGACAGCAAATAGAGCTTGAACATCTCCAGAACATGATTCATTCCAGACACCGCCACTGCCACCATCAATACAGCTTACAATAAAGTAGTGAAAATCACAGTTCCTTTTTTTTCCTTTTCACTGCAGACACAAAGGAACAAGAAATTATAGAACTTGGGACAGCTGACAGTTAACTAATCACAATGTCTACTGTCTAACTTTTCTTTTTAAGTGGAGGTCACAGACCCCACAGGCTGGGTCAAATGGACCTAGATCAAGATCTTAGGGTCAGCTGCACATTATCTCCTGATGATAGGCATGTGGCAGAAATCATCAGAGAGAGGTGTTGGTGTTAAAATGGAAACAGTCCACACTCTTATATGGGCAGTGGTCTGACTCCTCAGCAGAACACTGTACCATCTGCATAGAGAAAGTTCAAGCAGAAAGCAAATAATGTTATGATGAAATGGAGTTCTTTTTACAGATGAGAGGAAATATCACCATGGAAATTACATCATAGGATATAGGGGATGAAAGAGTCTTTTTCTTTTCATTCACTGTTTGTGTTGGTTACTCTTCTCTCCTTGCTGAGACAAAATACCTGACATCCAAAATGAAGGAAGGAAAGATTTGTTTAGTTTACAGTTTGTGGAGGTTTCAGCCCATCATCAGCTGGATCCAAGGCAGGGCAACATAGCAACAAGGCAACACTTCAAGGCAGCAGCCAGAGCAAAAAGCAACTAGAACAAAACGGGAGAAAGAGCAAGCCTCTTCTCCTCTCTTATATTGTAAGCAGGCTACCTCCCACACCAGGGTCTGCATAGCATTCATACCTCCTCTGTGCCCTCTTATTGCACAAACTGAGGATATTTACAAGCAAGGATCCGGGCTCTCTGCGGAGTCCCATAAACTTTAAACTTCTCAAATTCACACAGTGTATCACCCATAACACCCTTATTAAAGGTAAAATTTAAATAGGACATTTTGTAATAAGAACTTATATTAAACTTAATAACCATGTGTTCTATGTTTAGAATTCTTTAGAGATGGTAAATAGGTGGTATAAAGACTACTGTAAAATGTGCCAATAATCTGATAGGGATCATTTAATTTTATGCTTGCTTTAGTATAAAAATTAAATTATATAAATACTTTGTAGTCATATGTGAAAGCATGTTGAATTTTTAAAGATTACATATTATATAAGTATGTGTAAGTAAACATTTTTAACTCTACAAAGTTTTGAAAACTACAAATCTACTATTTTGGTTTTATTTTCCCCACTAGTTAAGTCTACCAGATAGTTTTCTTTGAGACTAGAATTAAAACACACTTTTTGAAGACCTTTTTGTTTTCTGTTCATTTGTATTGTTCAACTACAATAATACATGTTTAAAAATCATACGCCCATTACATAAAGCTCTATGGCATCTCCCTCATGACAGTTTTCTCATGTAAGAAATTTTCCAGTTAGGTTATCATTATAGAAATTCTACTCCAAATATGATTTAGTTATTTACAGAAGAAAAGTAGGTTAATGTTAGCAACTGCACTTTTTCTATTCCTCAGAGGCTAGAAACCTGAACTTTTCACATCAGATAGGATCTAGTGTGCGTCCAATATATTTCTGAATTTGATGTAAACTTCATAAAGTTTAAGCACATTGAGCATTCTAATACCTCTGTAATTTGTACCAAACATGAAGGAGAAAATAAAATAACGTTAAGGTCTAAGGAGTAGAAAGAAGAACTAGTTGTATTACTGCCAACCATGTTATACCTGGTTTATAAACCCCGAGACTCAGCATAATTAATGCACTTACCCAGTTTCCTTTCTTTGGAATTGTTAGAATGCACTATATTACAAGAAGTGGATCTGTATCCCGATACATTTGTACATTCTCCACCAAACATAAGGGCTTTTTCCTTCTTCAGAAATCACAGGAAGAGCAACTTGCTTTCACTGTGGAACCACAAACATCCCCTCCCAAAAGGTCTCTGGCTCCTCCTCATCTGGGGAAAATTCTGTCACAGGACAGAGGTGTGCCATTAAGCAAAGAATAATAACAATGTAAACGTGATAGTTTTTTGAAGCTACCAAGTCTTAAACTGTTTTCTGATCTTCTTGATTCTGTGCTTTTAAATTTTAAATGTAAAGAAGAGTGACAAAATAGACTCTGACCACTGAGCCTCTGATGATAACCCTGTTCATACCATGATTTTGGCCTCACAGATTTCTGATTCCCAGAATTGTAAAACAATAATGTTTCTGCTGTTTTGAGGCACTGAGTCTCTGGTAATTAGTTACAAAAATTAAAAAAAAACAACATTTTTATTAGTTAACATTATAAGTGCGTACTAATGCAAGTTAATAATTATGTCAGTTATTTGTCACTGCAAAAACTATTGCTAATAAAAAACCTATGAAGATTAAGCGGTTTTATTACAATGTTATTAATATATATTACTAGTTATTCTTAATAAAAGTTACTGCTGGGCTGGAGATGTAGCTCAGAGGCACAGTTCCTGCCTGGAAAACACGAGGTCCTGAGTTTGATTCTCAGTACCAAAAAAAAAAAAAAAAAAAAAAAAAAGATTGTTAAGCTCTGAAATTAAACAATGTACCTGAAAGCAAGGTCGTAGAAGGCCTTTTCAATCTAGGCCCCAGATCACTAGTAATTTTGTAATACACAGTACTCACACTATAGGAAACAACAGTGTATTGCACATTTGAAAAAGTCAGAAGAAAAGATTTTGTAAGTTTTCACCATAAAGAAGTATTAAATGAGGAGATAGATTTAAACAGATTTATAGTGGAGGCACACTAGACCCTATCTGATGCAGACATACAAAGAAACGTCACATTTTACCCAATAATATAAATAATATTTATACTTTATGTGTCATTTTTAAGAGAAGTCCCTCACCTCACATTCTCTGACCACACCACACCAGCCCTCAGATTACAGGGACTTTCCTCCCACCGCAGTCTACTCCCCTTTCTGGATTACTCGGAAACGCCTCAATGGCAGATCCAGCAACAAGACAATGAGTTTCGATTTCGGTTTTCATCTGTCTCGGCCCACACTTTGATGGCTGTGATAACTGGTTTTATCCTAGACCCAGCCAGTGCAGCAGAGCGTTCCAGGAGCGAGCGGCGCGCGGGCGGAGTGCGCGTCCACACCGCAGAGCCCGCCCGGTGAGCGCCCTGCGCCGCCGCCTTCCCCGCGCTTCTGCGGGAGCGCTGACGGCCGCAGGGTTTCTCCAGCGCGCCGCACTCCACGTCGGGGCAGACTCCCACGGGCGGGTGAGTGGGCAACGGAGGAGGGCGCCGCTGCGGGGAGCGCGGCTGGCCGAGCGGGGCGCCCTGCAGGGCTCAGCCCGCGTCAGTGCGGAAGCGCCTGGGGAGAAGACGGGCGCCTACGGGGTGCGCGGGGCTGCGGGGTGCGCGGAGGTGCGTGGGGGTGCGCGGGGCTGCGGGGTGCGCGGGGGTGCGCGGGGCTGCGCGCAAACCCCCAGGACACCACGGCGGCGCGCATCTTAACCCACCTGTGGAATGGGCTCGAGTCCTGTCCGAACCAAGGTACCAAAATTCATCACCATGCAGAGGCACCCCTAGAAGGAGGAAAAGGCTCACTTCTTTCACTTTCCTTCTCCAGTCTTCAAACGGTTCTTCACTGCCTCCTGCCAGTAACTGGAGAATCCTGTGTAGTCTCTAAGAAGGTTAAAATCGGTTGTGGAGAGCCAAGCGGGTTGGTTTCTAGGGCAGTTTGCAGTGTGTGGCGCTTCCAAAAGCTGCGTCCACATAGTCTGTGGTACTTGCAGAGAATTTAGGGAGAGACTTGTAACTTTCTCCACAGGACTGTCAGGAACTTTTGGAAACCTTTGATCTTCTACACAACCTAGTAGCACTGTATCTCATTCTACCTACTTAATTTGAATTTGAAAACTTCTTGCCTGGGAAACCTCAGTCCTGCTTTACAGTCAGAGAAAATAAAGCAAAGAAAAAAAGAAAAAGTAGAACAAAAGTTTGGGGAAGTTCACCGACCTTTTCTTACGCTTTCCTGAACGTCAAATCTGAGAGAATGCTTTAATTTGTCCTTTTTCTACTACAGTGTTTAAAGGCTTATGTTTTACCTCGTAAATCCAGTTCCCCGACAGCTACAGGAAAAAACAAAAAACAAGAGGTTGTACACATGAAATTGATTAGGAAATCTGTTGGGGTGTTTTTTTTCTAGCAAAAACATTCTCTCTAAGGCTTTTATTCCTTTTAGTCTAATAAACAGTAATATCTTTTTTTCTGTTAAACAATTTAATTTCTAGAGCCATTTTTTGCCTGCGCACTTAAAAGATACCCTCTGAACTACTATGGAAGACGTCTTCCTTCACCTCTTGGTCCTTCTCTGCTTGCTCCTGCCTCCATCCAGCCTACTCCAGGAGCACTAAATCTGACCTGAAGGCTGATGTTGACTCCCTTAGTCTCTTTCTCGGACAGGTCTTCCCTCACTACTGTGTATAAATTCAGCTTCCAGCACTCCTTATCCGCTTTCCCTTCCTATTTTCCTCACAGCATTTAACTTTTTATGTATTTGTGTATGTGCATGAACATATACATATTTTTCTAATTCAATTTGTCTATTGTTTTTTCATGATACTAGAGTTCAATTAGGAGCAGTTTACATCCATTTTATTTACTGCTGGATACTGAACCTGTGTGGACCAGGGCAGGTATTAAATGGATGTTTGTTAAATACAGTATTTAAAAACCTGCAGATCAGTTTGGTCCTGTTAGGTGAACTCTGTGTACTAAATGTTGTTGATCGCTTCCTCTTTCTCTATACTACTCCTCCGGGGCTAAAGAGACAATTACTCTACAAATTCTAGAACCTCCATCTGACTGCTCCTTTCTTACAGCACTATATTCCTGTAGTTAGAAACAAAATATTAATGTTCTGGAACTCCATCTGTGTTTTTTGCTTTCTTATTTGGTTATTTTAAAAAGAATAAAGACATAACAGCTGTTACTGAAAGTCAATTGTGGTAGCTAAATATTTATAGTAGGCACTATAAAACCAATACATTATTCAATTCCTGCCCCACTGACCAACTTAGAAAACTTCTGAGTCATTCAGCATACATTCTTTGACTTTGCTACATCAGAAAAGAAAGAATAATAACCTCTAACTTATAGGTTTCTTTTTTTTAAGAGCCAGAAAGATAATTTAAATAAAGTACCATTACCTAAAATTTTCTTATTAACTAGGATATTATTTTGGGGTGAATGAGTCATTGGATATAAGTAATACTCTTGTGTCAGCTTTGATATCGTGAAGGATTCCAGGTATGATGGATGACAATTTGCTGTGAAATCGCTTGCACTGTACAAAAGTAAGAAGATGATATACATGCTCCACAATATAAAGGTCAGAATGCATACTTCTTGAATAACCTTTAAGAGATGACTTTGGAGGGGCTGGGGATTTAGCTCAGCGGTATAAGCACTTGCCTTGCAGGCAGGCAGTCCCGAGTTCGATCCCCAGTACCAATAAAAAGGAAAAAGACAAAAAGAAAAGAGATGACTTTGGGATCTTGTGTTCTACTGAGCAGCTTTTCTGGGTTTTCAGGTTATTATGGTATCTGCGTCCAACATCATGGATCCCATTTGTCTAGTGGAAAATGATAAAGAGCAACTGGTGGTGAACCCAGAGGCAATAAAGGTTCTCCAAACAATTACTGATCCTGTGGTGGTAGTGGCTATTGTTGGACTGTATCGTACAGGAAAATCCTACCTGATGAACCGTCTTGCAGGACAGAACCATGGTGAGTGTTATCTGAGGACAGGGCCCACTTCTGTGGAACCACTGATAGATAATCCCAGCTGATCACATCTGCTCTAGGGCTGTCTTAAGGAAGAAAGAAAAAACTCTTGATAGTTATTCTTAATGTTTACTATCAGATTTGTAACTTGAACTCTATCTACAAAAGTCACTCTTACTACAAGTAATAAAAGCATTATCTGAATTCTATCTAATGATCTACTCTGTCTGCGTATGATCCATCCTCTCCTGCATAGATCAACTCTTGTAACTGTTTTTTCTGTCTCACACATCACTTTGGCTAAAATTATAATGTCATTCCAAGAGGCAAAAAAATGTAGTTAAATATGTCTTATTTTGTAAAAGGCAGTGAAGGCAGGAGAAAAAACAAGGCGGAAAGAATGTGGGGGAAGGGAGAGAGAAAAATGGAAAGGGTAGAAAGGAGAAATAGGAAAAAAGTTATGATCTATGTTTATCTCATACCTCAGTGACAAGACTTTTTCATTCCCTGCCCCCATTACATAGCAGAACTTTAATAAACTTGCCGGCTCTTCTATCTGGGCCTCTGCAAATGTATGAAATGTAGCAGCGTCTATAAAATCCAGTGTACAGTAAACTTAAAAACTGAATCTTTATCATTGTGCAAGTAAAGAAGTAAAACTTTATAAACACTCAAGTCACACCATTTCCTCCCTTTTTATTGCTTATCAATATTTTTGTTTTCATTATATGTCAATAATATTTTTCAAAATAGTCTTATAATCTGTATATGGCTCTATAAACAGCAATCTGAACAACTTTTAAATTTTATGGAAACAATATATAATTTGTCAGTATTCATATAACCTACATATCATGTGTGATTTTGAGTTTATATAAATACACGTGTCATATGTATTCTTATGTCCTTGGCTTCTTTACCTTAAGAAACTTTTGAATAATCCAGTTTGTCACATGAACTCATTAAATTATTTTATTTTATTTTATTTTATGAAGATAGTGCTATTTATTCACATATTTGGATGAATATTGATTTATTTACAATGTGTTTTTACCTCTTAAGACAATACTATTACATGTAACTTTGAAATTTAATTTGGTACATTTATTTGGTAAATATACCATCCCTTGTATAATATTGATAGAAATGGAATTGTTAGCTACTCAAGGCATTGTATGTTTAGTATGTAATATCAAATAGTTTTTTAAACTTTATGTGTAGTTTATATGCTTATTGTAAGAAATTGAAAACTGCCCATTTCTATACAGGAATTCAATTACACAGGTTTTATTTTATTTTATTTTATTTTACTGATGTGCTATCTTTATTTGAATGTCACTATAAGTCTCATCATGAAAAAATTGAATGCTTTTTCAAATATTCAACACTTCGATTATTTAGTTTGTTAAATTCACATTCAAGTGTTTTAAAAATTAGTTCATCTCATTTTCTTCTGATTTATTTCAAGAAAATCTGCCCAAGTTTCTATTAATCCCTTCTGCCTATGAAGACCATGTAGTTTCCCCTCATCCCTTAATATTTTAAGTCTTCTCAAGCTCAGCACCATTTAGAGCTGCCCTTCAGTCTTTCTGTTCTCAGAATTTACCATATTCAAGTTGCTTTCTTTCCTTTCCCTTATAGGATTCAATCTGGGAACTACGGTGAGGTCCGAAACCAAGGGCATCTGGATGTGGTGTGTACCTCACCCTCAGAAGCCAAAATTCACCCTTGTTCTTCTGGACACTGAAGGCCTGGGTGATGTGGAAAAGGTAAATCAAGAGAATCGCGAAAGAATCTTCTCCTTGATTCTCCACTTGCACTTAATTTACCACCATAATTCAATTTACTTTTGCAAACTAAAAATCCAGTTGTGGGTAATGAGTCTAAATTCTGTTTCCTTGAAATTACTTCTTTGGTAAGCTCAATGACTTTAGTATGTTATGAGAAGACAGTCTTATTTTTTTTTAAATTTGAGTGAATCATAAAATTTAGTAAATATTTATTAGGGAGCCAAGTTCCAGGGTACTCTACTGTCTACTGTAAGTACTCTAATAAAAGATAAAGACTAATTCATAATTCAGGAGTCAGCACAAAAGTATCTGATCAGTATGAAGTGAAGGATAAACAGAAGTAGACATCTAACCTGCTTCAGAGAATGCTTCCTGGAGGAAATGACGTTTGAGTCATAAACTATGAAGTCTGTAGAACTGTACTATCGTTCTGAGGCTGATGGGTCAAAGTGCCACAACTTGAGTGACTCAGTAACAGAAATGTATTGTCCCATAGTTCTAGAAGGTGGTAATCCAAGACCAAGATATTATCAGGATTAGTTCTTCTGTGAAATGTAAAGGACAATTGTTTCCATGCCGCATCCTAGCTTTTGGTGATACCATGGCAATACTTGTCATTTTGGGGCTGATCACCATCTTCATCATTAGTTGGTTTTCTCCCTGAGCTATATATTCAACTCTGTATCTGAAACACTAATCATGTGCCTTAGAGTTCAGCTAATAACTTCACTTGGACAGACTACCTCATAAAGACTCTATGTCCATAGAAGATCTTTTTATAAAGTACTACAAGTTAAGACTCGAGCACATCATTTGAGAGATCTGAGAAGGGTCTAGTTCAACACTTAATAGCCTCCAGTTCAAGTGTGTAACTGTCATGAGGATGGAAATGGAAACCATGAAAATAAGTACAGTTACATAATCTTTTTATTCTTCAGAAAAGCCTCAATTAAGCCAAGAATTCAGCCTTGCTTCAATTCTGGATTTTAGAGAAACCTGCATTCTGACTTCTATAAAAGCATTATTTTAGGCATCCAAAAAAAATTCAAGTAGGATTTCAAATATTAAATTGAATTTGAAGTATTTAAGCATTAAATAAGATCTTAACTATTTTGGTCTTCATAGTATTAAATGAATCATTTATCCTCATTTTACATTACTCTGACCCTAACTTAAAAAGAGTGGTACAGTCTTTGGCTTCCATTACTATAAAAAAAGAAAAAAAAAGATTTAGAAATTTTACTATAGAATGTTGTAGAAATAGATGTGCTGTTTGGCATAGGTCTATTGAATTGAGTATTTTTAGGGACTATAAAATAAAAACCTAAAGAGTATTTTTCTTCAAAATATAAAAGATTTCCTACTTTTCAGATCAAGTTCTGTTTGCACAGGGTCCATATGGTGCTGGTGCATATATACAAAAGGGAAATTCCATAAACCACTGTTGTCCATAGAATTATTCACTGACACTAAAACATGGGGTTTTAGTGGGATTTGGAGAGAACCTAATTCAATTTGCCTGACTTCCATGGCCCATCACATCTTATGATGAATCTAATTTCCTACCTGGTCTTTCAATCTCCCATACCTACCCTCACATACCATTTCAGACAAATGGAATAACTGTAGTACATTTATATGACTGTATCATATTTCTGCCTTGGCTAAGGCTGATTCTCCACATATGTTTTTTTTTTTATTATTTTTTTCTTAAAGAGGATAAAAATGAAGAAAAATAAAACCAATCAAAGTAAACCAGTGCACGTGATTCAGGACTCCAAAACTTTACAGAATCAACAATGGGTACCATAATGCCTTTTGTTACCTTCAAAATAGCTGCAGATACCTTCAGACATAGTAAAAATTGAACAGAACAGAATGGAATAGAAACAGTAAAAACAAAACAATGAATGCAATAAAGGACTTCAAAGCAAGCTAATAGTGAATCCAAAATGGCTACCATAATATGTCTTGCTGTCTTTCAAATAGCTGCACATGCCATCAGAGTTAACATAATGAAACAAAGCAAAAGAAAATAAAACCCAACCCAGCAAAACAAAGAAAATGATATAATTTCCAGGCAGAATCACCCCCAGGTGAGGCTTGGTTCTCTTCCATGCAGTCCATGAATGGTGCTGACTCACTAGAGAGGCTGGGTCTGGCTGTGCCTAATCCAGCAGTGGCCTGAGCATGGCCCTAGTTTCCAAGCAGAGATCACCTCCTGGTGAGACCTGGTTCTCTCCCTCTGCAATCCATAAATGGCTCTGACTTCCATATGTATGATTTCTTGAAACCTGAAATTACATACTGTATTGATTCTCTAAGGTGAAGCTGTAGTGAGACTGTAATCACCAGACCCCAGGCTCACAGTTACATCGCTCTGAAGTTGCACAGCACTGGTTCCCATTTACTGAATTTATCCACTTTTCTACATGGTAGTATGTCATTTTACTCCCAGCCGAAGTGATTATTATTTTGGTTACATTTGTGTTTCCATGTTTTTCTGCCCCTCCAGAATGTTAGATGAAACTTTCATTCATATAGCTCAGTGTAGTGTTTAGTATTTTATAGATGCCCAGTTATTCATTGGATTTAATTTCACTGATAAAACCAGTGAAACTAATGAAATGGCTTCTGAATATCTTTGTGTACCTTCTATATTTAGGAACTATGTAAGCATTTTATGCACATTGACAGTATCCTTCATTTTTAAGAAAACTAAGTCCCTGATAATGGCCATGGTTAACAAAGAAAAAGAAGCATAAATTTAAGATCTTATTCAAAACTTAGTTCTTTATCCTACTATTCTGCTTTATTTCAGCTGAAATAGTGCATAAATAATAGAATGAAAGAATGGTGAGCAGAATCCTAAGTTATTTGCTCTCCTGTGCTTTCTAGAGGGACCCTAAGAATGACTCCTGGATCTTTGCTCTGGCCGTGCTTCTGAGCAGCACCTTTGTCTATAACAGCATGAGCACCATCAACCACCAGGCCCTGGAGCAGCTGCAGTATCCTTCTAGGAGCTGAGCCAACAAGTGTAATTGATTTATGGGAAGAGTCAATGAGACCATCTTTGTCCAAGTGACTCGGTTCTTATGCTTGAGGTGCCCAGGACAGTAGCGAAGGCTTAGAAATTGGTTTTGGGGACTTGTAAATTAGGATATGAATATGGTACCTCTCATTCCTTAGCTAAGATCCCAGCTATGTGACTGAACTAACAGAGTTAATCAGAGCAAAATCCACTACAAATTTTGAGGAAATGGATGACTCTGATGAGTTTGTGAGTTTCTTTCCAGACTTTGTTTGGGCTGTTCGGGATTTCATCCTGGAGCTGAAGTTAGATGGATACCCCATCACAGAAGATCAGTACCTGGAGAATGCCTTGAAGCTGATTCCAGGTACATAGGACGTGGCCTAGCTGGGGAAGCTTCATTCTAGCTGTGGGATCAAGTAAGCCCTATCATTCAATTTTTGACATAGGTGTTAACTTGAGCTCTAAACTGACGATAAACTGGTGACTATTGAAAGGTGATTGGGCCAGAAATTTAGCTCAATGGCATAAGCACCTGCCTGACAGGCGCAAGGTCATAAATTCAATCCCCAGCACCGAAAAAAAAGAAAAAGAAAGGTGATTGGTGATAGTTTTTCAAGAGTTATTATTACTTGAAAAATTTCTCAGTGCTAGAGTTTTAGCTCAATAAAACACAAGGCACATATAGAACCAAATTATTTTAGACCAATTAAGAACACATGAAAAATAATTCAGATTATAATATATACTATAACATACAAGTTCCTACATAATATGTTCTTTATTAAGTGCTTCTCCTGTTCTTCATTTAGAAAAAAAATTGGAATAAACACACAATCATATGAAATAAAAAAGATCTAATTTTCAAAGGATAATTCTTTTATATAGTGTATTTCCCTAGTAACTTGATGAGTTAACATACATCAGAAAAGAGCTATTTAAACAGTAAAGAAGTAAGAAAAATTCATATTTCTATTAACCTTGTAAATATTTCATTTTACCTTTCTTATACATCACCTTCTTCGTTTGACAGATGTACACATAGTAATTTTCCTATGGATTTATTAGATGTACTATATTTAGCAAAGTGGACAAGTTTTGGCACTTAATATGTCAATATTTTAGTCATTCTTTTATTCATTCTTTCAAAGCATTAATTGGACAACTTTTGGGTGACTCAATCATTCTCTTAAGGAAGAGTGTAGCAAATTCTGATACAGGAAAGTAAAGTCTTCAAATTACATTTAAATTAACTTTATTCTTTAAAAGTTTTCAAATAGATAAATTGCTACTGTGTGCTAAATTGCTAAATTTTGTCTCTGTATTTGGCTGATATTTCTGTCCTGACTTGGGTATTATCTGTCCTCTTTCTGACATTGTTTCTGGAAGCATCTTACCTTTTCTGGCATCACTTTGTTTTAAGAAACACATTTCATCTATGGCAAGGCTATAATAAGATCAGAAAAGGACTTCGAACTCTTTTGTTTCATTAGTTGATCATTCAGTAAGCATTTGTTAAGTACTTAATCCATAGACATCTGTACAGTTACCAGGGAAGCTAAAGATGAGTCGCCCTATCTATGGATATTTGACCTTTGTAGTTAGAATTTTGTAGTTGCCTGTTACCTCAATACAGAAATGAATTTTGCTTGCCTTAAAGGATCTGCAGTGGTTGATTTTCAGTGAGCTACCACATGATTGGATTAGAAGAGTTTTACAGGGAAGGAAATGTAGTGATAAAGGGATCTCTGGAAATAAAAGTACTTCAGCTTCTTGCCTGAGATCTGTCCTTTCAAAATTAATATTTTTTTAAACCTTACAGGCAGAAGTCGCAAAATCCAAAATTCCAACATGCCTAGGGAGTGTATCAAGAATTTCTTTCCAAAACGAAAGTGTTTTGTCTTTGATCGACCTACAAAAGAAAAAGATCTCTTAGTTCATATTGAGGAACTTCCAGAAGACAAGCTGGATTGTAATTTCCAAGCACAATCAAAAAAATTCTGTTCTTACATCTTTACCAATGCGAAGCCCAAGACGCTGAAAGAAGGAATCATTGTCACTGGGAATCGTGAGTCACCTTTGCCCTAGACCTTACCTGTTTAACACTATTGTAGTGAAACTTTTTCATACCTGGCCTTGGTCAGTATTTCTTTCATCTGACGTGAATACAACACACAGAAATTCATGTTTTATGATCATCTCTAGATGAGGCTTTATTAAGATTAAATATATCTTAAGAAGCTACTCAACTGATCTCATAAGCAAAACAGAAGCTAACATGTTCCTGCCAGCTTGAACCCCCCGCAGTACATGCATTACTGTCCCTGGTGGGGCATTGTCTTGTACCACCTGCTGGGACTGACCCATGCTCCCCAATGGGACAGGCAAGAGCAGTGAGACATGAATGACTGCATCATGAATACATTACAGAGAGAATACGTGTGTTTGAGCTAAATACTGTAGGAAAGTGTATAAAAACATTTTTGTCAATTTACATTAGTAATAAAATAATAATACAAGTGTTTCTCTGCATGGATAGAAAGGATTTTGTGACTTTACATTAGCAATAAAATAATAATATGGCAAATAAGAGGCCAAGATTGCCAAAAATTCATTGAATTGAGGTCAAAATCCCATGTACAGATATGGTTTCGTGATATTAACTTGCGCAGACACACAGTGACTTATGCTGAGAATGACTTCCTCTGGTTGAGGGCTCTATCATTGTCCTGAAATTGTTGATAATATTTTATATGCAAATTTGCATTCTCATTTGGGACTCGGTCCACAAACTAGACAGTTGGTCTTACAGATATAATTTACTTCTCCTGTCTAGTCTACTCCTTTTCCAGTTTGTATTAGATTGTTGAAAGGAGATCATTATCATTGGCAGTTATCAGTGATTTAAATTATATGAATTGCAAGCATTAAAATATTGAACAGGGATAATGTCACCAGAAGGAAAACTTTCTCAAAACAGAAGAAGGAATTTTGTGCTAAATCCAGTTTTGACAATCTTTGGAACACTGATTCCAAAATAATATAAAGAAACAGAGGGTAATCTGATACTTTTCCTTAAATTATTTGGCCTTTTCAGGGCTGGGGGCTCTGGTGGAGACCTATGTGAAGGCCATCAACAGTGGGGCAGTGCCTTGCTTGGAGAACGCAGTGACCACTCTGGCCCAGCGTGAGAACACAGCAGCTGTGCAGAAGGCAGCTGACCACTACAGCAAGCAGATGGCCCAGCACCTGCAGCTTCCCACAGACTCACTCCAGGAGCTGCTGGATGAGCACACGGCCTGTGAGAAGGAGGCCA